GCCAGGATGACAGATCTTAATGCAACTAACTGCATTCTTCTGCCATTAGCAGAGGTTGTAGAAAGACGCCGCATTGTCGGCTCAAATCGCCGCCAAGTTACTAAAGAAAATGTAATCGTGCGCCAACATTTTCACCAAATTCGTATAAATAGAAAATATATTTAAAGATGATAGTTTTTAATTAATTTCTTTTGCGCCGAAATTTTGCCGCCGCCGACGCTACTTGGTTTACAACTGACGAGTTCTGCTTCATTGTCCGGCAACGAGCTGTCGTCGCTCAAATAACCAAGGTTATGTTAAATGCGAATACGAATTTCTCGTGTAAACAATTTTACTTACCCCAAGCCCACAAGGCTACAGCATTCCACTGGAAACAAAAGTAAAAAAGATTAGTTTATGACTTTCTAAAAATATAAAAGTTCTGTGGAGTTTGCATCTACCTTCTTCACTTCGAATCGTTTCTTCTCACCCTTGCTACTGGATGAGGGCATCTCGAACTCTTCTTCATCTACTTCCATTTTGTTGTCTATAGTATTGAATGGATATCATGAGATGGATAGTACTAAATTTTACAAAGTAAACAATCATTACCTTTTCAATTTTCTTTTGTTACCTTCAAATAAAAAAATTTTTGCAAGTCTTAGTCTCGTTTAGGGTTTCGTAGCTCCACTTGCAAATACTAATAGTATCGATGCTGGCAATATCGATAGTATCGACATTTTAGTTTAAAAGAGAGTATCGATTGATAGTTTTTTTTATCGATATTATCGGACGAAACGCCAGTGCTAATGCTATGTTCTCATTGCACTTTCAATCACGTTGTTCCCTCTCAGAATTAGGTACACGAATTAATCCATTTATACGGCAGATTCGTAATTCATAGCAGCATAATTCATTTTTTCCTGAAAGAATCTACTAGGTTTGCAATTTTCTTCGATATCAAAAAGGTAAAATCGGTTATCGTAGTAAAAACGTTTACATTCTTGCAGTTCTGGAACAGATCATTTTATAGGAATTTATACGAAATTAAATGAAATTAGCATTGATAATAATGGAAGAAATTATCGTTTCCTCCAAATATTATTTTATCTTTTATTTAACTATTTTTATTCTTGTTTTGAACTTTTTGTATAAATGTTGACATTTTATAAATATTTTTCTGCTTTTAAATTCGGTTGGAGAATCACTTGTCGAAATTTTTTGTCGATACAAACATTGTGAAAATATTGCCTCTTTTGTTTCCAGTTTTCTTTCGGAATTCCAACTCGCGGACAAAAATTGTACCTCGGATGAGATAGGTAACAAAACTTTTCTTTCGTTTATAAACATGGTTTCGTTTGCGCTTATTCTACTTATTCCAATACCATACCTTCTTACTTCAAACCTAAATAAATTCAATTAATTTCTAACAGCATAGATTACTTATTTTGTTGAATCGATAGTTTTTAATGCAAAATTACGTTTTCGTACACAAATTATATGATTGGAATAAAAAAATAACCTAAATATTCAAACTCTAGCGCTATCGCTCCACTGCAATCATCCAAAGGGTTAGAGGTAACACTAGTGTTCATACATTACGAAATCCCATATTCTGTTATGCAATGGACAGACTTGGCGGGTGTTTAACCAACGTGATATACAATGGAAGTGGAAAGCATGACCACAAACACCCCAGTGCACTGTGCATTCTTTACTGGTGATAGATGCTTGATTTGCTTGACACTTAATGCATAAATCCATAATGTGATTTCGGCAAACGGCGCAAAACTGTGACAGCATGAAAAATAATATAGGTAGGCGATTCGACACATCTGGTACAATGAGATGTCAAAATTTTGAATGCAAATTTATGAAAATTTGTTAAATTCTTGAAAACTCGTTTTATAATAACCACTGAATGGCCATTTCAATTTATTTTATTTTGTATTCATGATGGTAACAGATCTTGATGCTACTACCTGCATTATTCTGCCATTAGCAGAGGTTTTACGAATTGTTTCTTCTCACCCTTGCTACTGGATGAGGGCATCTCGAACTCTTCTTCATTTACTTCCATTTTGTTGTCTATAGTATTGAATGGATATCATGAGATGGATAGTACTAAATTTTACGTAAACAATCATTACCTTTTCAATTTTCTTTTGTTACCTTCAAATAAAATTTTTTTTGCAAGTCTTTGTCAAAGACCTAAAATGGTAAAGACTAGACAAAATGCATTTTGAGCAAAGGGTTTGTGTCTACAATACATAGAGTAACAGCTCATGGCAGAAACATGTTAATATAAAAACCACAATTACAGAAACAGATAACAGATAAAAATTTGAAAAATCCAAATTTTGGTTTCAAAATTCTATTCCATGGACCTTTCCGAAAATTTGCACATTGCCTTAGTGGTTTAAACCAGTCAACATTGGTAACTATGTTGTCATGATATCGTAACAACAGAGTTATTTTCACAGGGTTACCCATGGTAGAAGAATATAGGTAGACGCGTCGACACAGCTGCTGGGACAATGAACTGTCAAACCAATTTTGGAATTGAAAATGTTGAATGAAAAATTATTTAAATTTGTAAAAATTGTTGAAAAACGCGAATTATAATAGCCTCCGAATGACGTAGTATAAGAAAACATATAAAAATCTACTTATATTTGAAAAAAAACATTTAAAATTTTTTGACATATCAATGCTCCCAAGCGTTGATGCATCTACCTGTATTCTTCTGCCATGGGGTTACCATAACTAGACCCTGTCTTGTCCTATCTTTACACTTCTATGTCTTTGTCTTTGTCTTGTTTAGGGTTTCGTAGCTCTACTTGCAAACACTAATAGTATCGATGCTGGCAATATTGATAGTATCGATATTTTAGTTTAAAAGAGAGTATCGATTGATAGTAGCTTACAATAGTTGTTTTCCAGAACCTGCAAATTAGTACTAATTAGCACTAATTCTGCTACAACGCGTTTCCGTACTCCAAAAACTAGCAAAACTTGCAGCTCTCTCGAGAAAAAAATGGCGCTGAGTGGTGCACATTTCTGCTTGTTTTAGCTACATGAATTTGGTCGAGCAGAAATGTGCAACTTGTAAATTTGACATTTAATTGGCAGGGCTAACAAGGTTGAAAAATGTATTGATACATTTCAATGTTCGCGCGTCACAACAAATGTAAAGAAAAAAGATCATTTAAAAACTAAAGGAAAAACTAATATTTGTCGTGCAAAAAACAGAAAGAGAAAATATGGAGCAACTGATGTATTCAGTTTTGGATGATTCCAGCAGTGAAGAGCACCGGCTGAATGAGGAATCAGATTATTAATTATTATTATAAATTATTAATTTTAACTTATCGTCTTCAATATCCATTTTTTAAATGTTGGCGCTCTTTTCAGTAAGGTTTCACCAGTCCGATTTAGGCTGTTTACTTTTGGAATTTTGACATTTTATCGCATTTCTGCTAATTTTCCGTTCCCTTATTTTTTGATCAAACCTAAAGGAGAATGACATTTCGAACTGTTCTCTCTTCTGCTAGTTTTACTACTAAAAAAGTACTGGAACACAACTAATGTGTTGATACAATTTTTTTTCTTGAAAACCCAAACCATCTGGCATAACAAATGATAAAATGAAGCATGGAAGAATCAAGAAGGAAAGACATGCAATCATATGTTTACATTTTTTTTTAAATTATTCATTTGGCAACATCTCATTGTCAAAATATTTATTTTTAAATCCAGTGTACAGGGTGAGATAAAAACTGCAACAAAGTCAAATGACATAATTTTTACATTTTTTTTAATTTTATTGAATGAAAGCAAAAAATATCGGAAATAGCATCACATTTTAGAATAAGTTTAGATTTGTTCGAATTGGTTACCTTTGGTACGAATTATAACCTTCAAACGGCCAATGAAACCGTCACACGCTGCCCGAATGTTGCTCTGCGGTATTTTAGTCCATTCCCGACGAAGCGCTTGCTTGAGGTGATCGACACTTTGGTATTTTTTAGTGCCAACCTTGCTTTCCAAAATACTCCAGACACAATAGTCCAACGGATTGGTATCCGGAGATTTTGGTGGCCATTGTGCGCTGGAAATAATGCGAGGAACCACATTCTATAACCATTCTTGGGTGGCGCGTGCTGAGTGCAATGGTGCTGAGTCCTGTTGGAATGTCCAAAGTCGGCGGCCAAAATGTTTGCGTGCCCAAGGCTTTAATACACCTTTCAGAATATTTTCGATATAATATTCGGCATTTATTCTGTTGCCACGGCCGATTAATACGAGCGGTGACTGACCATTGGCTGTTATGGCGGCCATCACCATGGCCGGTGCTTGAGTTCTGGTGGCCAACCGCAGCTGACCTCTTTGGCAAGTAAACACGATCATTTTGTTTGTATACAAACTGCTGGACAACAAATACTTTCTTATCGGAGAAAATTAAATTTGGCAGTTCACCACTTTCGGTCAAGTGAAGCTATTTTGAGTCTATTTTCTTTCTGTTGCAGTGTAAGTTCTTCCACTTTTTGGAATTTCAATGGCTTCACCCCGAGCTCATTTTTCAATATTTGCCGAATGGAATATTGCGATATGTTCAGCTCACGAGCCATTTTGCGACGCGGGTTTCGACAAAGTCGCTTCTTTAATTTTCAAACCATTTCTGCCGATGTTGCTGTTTTCTACCAGTACCACGGTAACGAGCGATGGTACGCGACACAAAAGATTTGTTCACATTTTAATGCTGGAATTCCATCACGAATAACTTATTTTTCTGGAAAATTCTCACCAAAATGTCGGACCAGTGGCTTAGAAATGACAGCATTCTGAAATTGGTAGCAGTTTTTTCATCTCACCCTGTATACCTAAAAGAATACCTATATGTCAGAGCCGCACTCGAATCCTGCCGTAGTTTTCCTTTATAATTTGACATTAAAGTGTCATGCCAAGCTGCTTAAACGAGGACAAAGTTCCATTGTATAATCCGAATTGTGAGATTAGTATTTATATTTTCCAAATTGTTTTTTTTATTTATTTTTTAATAATTTAACAACTTATGCCTATGAAAAGTAACACTTTAACTAATTTAAAATACTGTATTATTCTACCATAGAAATATTTATAATACAAATTATTTATAACAAAACAAAAAATAAACTACTATCATTAATTTAATGTGCTTTGGCCTTGTATGTGATTTTCCATACTTCAAAGAGACATATTGTCGAATGGAATCGATAGAATATAGCCAAAGGCATTGAAACATGTGTTATAATGGTCCAAGCCCAGGCACCGTAGAATTCCAAATGGGTTTGACGAAACACTGCCCGACCCTTGATGAGCGTGTTTACAAACCATATCGCCATATTGGCTACCAAGAGGAATGTGATAATTTCTCGACCCGGTTTGCGACGAATCTGTTTTGAGCCTTTACAACGACGATGACTGGCGTGAAGGATGAACATTGTTTGCAGGGCCGTTTGTAATATATTAAAAACTTCGGCAATAATGCCCTCAACACGATCCGGCACTGTGTCCCATTCGGAGAAGTAGCTGCCCAATATGCTGAACATGCCGTAGAGGTAGGCTCCTGAGAGGAATTAAAATGAAATTGTAAATCTTTTTTCATGGCTTAATTTTAAAAATATACTCTAACCTGTTTGGGCCACCACAAGCAGTAGATTATCCAATTCCATGGAATGATGTTCATCACTGGTATCCTTGATATATTTCAAGTCCCGCATCAGTATCATGCCTAGAAGATGAAAGTGAGTTGTATTTGATATAATACGTTTTGTTTCGAATTCAAATATACCTGTAATAATTGCCGCTGCGCACAAGAAATATATGGCCGTTTCCCATAACGTAACTTCTTGTGTGGCAACCAATTCGTAACCCGGTTGCATGTACAGTACAAAATACATAATCATTGATATAATGGTCATGACAATGATCAAAATACCAAAGAAGAGACCTCTATGTGATTGGGAGCAGTCTACCGAGAAATGATGAGCAGGCTTTTGATGTACCGGCTTTACGGAGTTTTTCCGCGATTTATCAATATCTGGTATAGATTTTACGGTTTTCCACATTTCATATAAAATAACCGCACATATCAGGGAATATTCAATGGTGCAGGGGAAGAGGAAGGGGGACAATTTCTGTGAAAAAGCAGAGAATTTAAAGAGAGTGGACATAGGGTTAAAAGTATAATTTCTTACCTGCACCAATGCTCCCATAATGGTGGTACGAGAACAACCATGAGCCGCTGCTGTTGCCGCCTCGGTGGTGGTGGCCGCAGCCGCTGTAACATTTTGCAGAACATGACCTACAACTGCTGCAATGGTACTATTTTTGGCATTCTCCCCAATATGTTTGGTATGATGCAGTGATGCATTTACTGCCGTCCAATCGACGCCACCATGTGAACCGCTCATAGCATCATGATCGGAACCCTCTTCGTGATGACCAATATGGAATATTTCATGTTTGGTCTCTTCCACCAAAACATACAACCATTCACACAAGTTGGTGGCCACCATGTGCATCAAACCAAAGCGCGAGAACACCTTATGCCGCGCCATATCCAAATAGGTTGTATTCAAGAAAATAAATTGTACCTGGGCTATACACAAGACCATGCGACACAGGGGCGTTATGGCCACAAATACATCCCGACATCCGGCGTGGCCATTCAGTTCGAAAAATTGACCAAATTCCAAACCTGAATAGACCATGGTACCAATGGCAAATGCTATGGCACCCACTCTCAAATAGAAACTACCGAAATGTGTGACTTTGTGTTTTAAATGCACATTGTTGCGTTCGTCTGCAATAAGGAAATAGAGAGGGATTTTAAATCCTCTTATTATCTGCAAGGATTTTGATTCTTTTGTTGAATACTTACGATAATTTTTCAGGGCATTGATAAGGGTACGATTCCGAAACGCTGAGATATACAAAAATGTAACAAAAACTATGCTAAGCACATAGAGATAAACATAGAATCCCTGATAGACATAGGTGGGAATTTGTTCCGTAATAACCTCCGTTATTGGTAGACAAACACCCAGTAGGACCAAAACTTTACAATAGGTGGCTGAAAGAGCTGCACTTATGGCATCACTGAAATTAAATTAAAGATAAAATGCGTATTAAGGGATAGGTATTAGCCCCGGGGGTGAGTGAGATAAATATCTTGGAATCTTGGATCTCTTATAAGACGATTGATCAATAAGCAATCAACCTAAATATCCCTATGGTTAGGAAGTCGTCGGCCTTATAAAATAACAGAGTCAAGGTGAAAATACATAAAACACTTTTTTGACTGGCTTAAGTCATCGGCTGGCTTCTTCGGAAAAGAACAAAGGAGCGTAGGGACAAAATCAAACTAAGTCGGTCTTATAAAACAATAGAATTAAGGTGACTGGCTAAAGTCATCGGCTGGCTTCTTCGGAAAAGGACAAAGGAGCGTAGGGACAAAATCAAACTAAGTCAACCAAAACTCCTTTGTTCCTCTACGAAGAAGCCAGCCGATAGCTAAAATGAGTCAAAAAAGCGTTTAATGTATTCCAACCTTCAGTTGCACTGCTGCTTACGGCTGGAGTAGTCCTCATGGAAAGGAGACTAAGGAAATAACATGCTGCGTCAGGGAAAAATGATAAAAATGAAGGAAGAGATAGCGACTCCTCTCATAAAAGACGGAAGAAGAAATAGGTGGTTTATATAAGTTTGACATAAGAGGAAGCTAAGTGGTTTTTAGAGATGCTTATGAAGAAGTCCAGACTAGCCGCTACTAACAGAGAAAGTCAGCCGAATGCAACAGGGAGACTGTATTCGGAAGATGTTAAGGTCTTCCCTAAAACTCATGCAGGCTCAACATGTTGACACCAAAAAGAAAGTCCGGGGCTTGAAGAAATAAGTGGTGGACATAACATCCGAATTGAAGAACGAGCGGATGGGACGTGAAACAGCGGTAGAAGACATGAGGAAAAAGGAAGGTGAAATCAAGGTAAAAGAGTTTGCTTTGATATCACACAAAAATGGAAAAGAAAGTGCCTTTAAACTTGTCACGAATCTAAAAGAGAAAATCAAGAATGCTCTGTGTGTAGCCGAGGGAACTAAGAACGAATTATTAGCGGCTAAACAGGCAGACCACAAGAGCACGGATTTGAATGCAATAGTCAGACAACTTATTGATGACTTGTTTAGCTCAAAGAGAGCACGACTTGTGGCTGAAACCGAGTACGACTTGAGGCTGAAACAGGGGGTCATGAGTTCGCTGCGAAAATAACAGTTGGAGTAGAAGAGCGCATTACTGAAGTTGAAGTACTTGGGGAAGAGACAGAAACAAGTCTTGAAGACTTGAAAAAAACTACCGTCAACCACTCAAGAATCTAGGTGGCAAAAAAAGCAAAATGTAATACACATGGCGAACGAAAAGGACAGAGGCGAACGAAAAGGACGCCAAAGAGGTGATGGCGAAAAAGGATGGCTATCTCTGATGTTGGAGTAATAAGTTGCTTGAGGAAGCATAAGTTCTCAGGAAAATCAAAGAGATGCAGCTAGAAAAAAGCAAGCGACAGGAAATTATAAGCGTTTGCAACGCTGGAACGATAAGTTGTCCAAGATCTGTCCAAGATGGCGCTTTCTGAGAAATATCACACCATTGGCTGCAGAAAGAAGACGACATATGAAGAGAATTCAGTCTGGAAATTGAAGCCGGAAGACAAAGGAGGTGAGACCTACACAAAAGACTGATCCGAGCATGTTTACGGAACATGTTTAGTGAACCTAGTGTGGAAGAGATATTTTTTTCTGGTTAACAGAGATCTTTTTAATACAGGTCACATATAAAAAGAAAAGAAAATGTTCTGACCTTCGAGTCATTAGAGGTAAATAATAGAGAATTTTACTTTTTTACATCACGTACCACCAAATGGCACAACAAATAGGGTGCACAAGGTACGAAATTGAACCATAAGCGTTGTCATATTGGTCAAACCATTTCTCCTCTATTATATATGATATCTCGAGAAAAATGCATTCTGTGGGAATAGAAATTCGCGCGGACATTCATTATTTGGTTATATCTAAAGAAACCAGGATGTCTTGCCTTTAGAGTTCGGTACTATTCTGCAAAAGGAACGATCGGAACTAGATCCAACTGTGTAGTTCATCCACTTCCTTTTCTATCTCTCAGAGAACGATGCAAATAATAAGAACTTCTAAAGTGAAAGATTCCACTGAATTGTATCCAATCGAAACTATTTGAATCGAAGGAACTGTATTCAGGAACTTGTTTCTTTTGAGAAAAGTAAGGAAAAAGGCCGATCCGCTTCGTGAACTAAATTGCCCTCGCTCTACTTTTCTTACTTACTTTCCCTGCCGTCGATTTTTCTCCTTCTGCTGTTTGGCCTGGAAACTCTTCGCTCCTCCGGTGTCGCCCTGTATGGTTATTGTACTGCCCGTCACGGTTCCATTAATGGTGCTGTAATTAAAAACACCAACTATATATTACTTTATTCCTTTCAAAATGCACTTCCCATTTCAACTACTTACCCAGCATGTGCAGATTTTTTCCGTGCAAATATACCACCACCCCCATGCTCCTTACGACCACCCAATATTTCTTGCAGCAGCACCGAAGGTCTTCGCGAAACTTGCAGGGTGTGGGGTAACGATGAATATGAAGCCTCATCTCTGTGCATATCATGGCTGTTGTGGTTGTTGGCTGGCAGAAGGGCCTGTCGCGCATTATTGGTTTCCATTAATTCTAAATTTGTCTGAGATTTGGCCAGCGGAGATATGGGATGTGTCATGACGGGTATGTTATGATGACCACATGAATCACACGGACTGCGGGCAGAGTAACGTACCAAAGGACCAGCGCCACTTGTGGGTGAAGATGGTGGTGACGGCGATGCTGTTGAGGGTGTGAACTTGGAGAATGAGGCTGATTTCTTGGGCGGCTTGATGGTGATAAACTCACTGCTGTCGCTTTGAGATATTTGACTACTACAAGGGTGGAGAGAGAGAAAAGTTCAATTATTTTCTTCAAATCGTAGTTCAATATTTTTATTGAATATTCTTTTTTTATTATTGGCTTTTCACTTGTGATAATTTTTAATTATTTAATGATTTTAGTTCTATAATATCCATTATACAATTTGAGGTTATGTTGTGCATTTAAATTGTATTTCCAATTGTGTATATTTTATTTCCACCAAATATCCTTATTTATTTATTTATTATTATTATTATTTGCTTTTCCTTTGTAATATTTTTTTTTTAATTATTTATTGTTTTATCCCCAGTTTGACAATTTCATACCGTTAACTTTAAAGTTTAGCCAAAAACTAATTTGAGTTTTTCGCTTCGCAATTTCCTGTGAATTTCTCTGAATTTGAATTACATTTCTTGTGATTTATTTGTGTTGTTGTAGTTGTGTGTTATTTGTATTTGGGATTTGATTGATTGTCCAACATTTGGTGACATGATGTGATTGATATGTAATTGCTTATATAAATAGTCTACCATGGTGTACCGTCTTTTTTCTGGGGATTATCATTTAATTAGCGAATGTGCACTCAGAAAAATATTGTGGTAGTTTTACAAAAGTTCAAAGAAAAGTTTTCCCCTGGAGTCATGCAGACTCATAATGTAGAGCCCAAAAAGGAAGTCGGTGGCTTGAAGAAATAAGTGGTTGACATAACATCCAAATTGGGAAACAAGCGGATGGAACGCGAAATAGCGGTAGTGGACATGAGGAAGCGGACCTGAGGAAAAAGAAAGGCGAAATCAAGCTAATAGAGGTTGCCTTGATATCGCAAAAAAATGGAAAAAATACCTTGAAACTTGCCAGGAATTCAAAAGAGAAAATCAAGAATGCTCTGTGAGTAGCCGAGGAAACTAAGGATGAATTATTAGCGGCTAACCAGGCAGAACGCAATGGCAAGGATTTGAAGTAGCAGTAGTCAGACAACTTACTAATGATTTGTCTGGCTCAAGGGAGCACGACTTCCGGCTGAAACCGAGCATGATTTGCGGCTGAAATATAGCGTGATGAGTTCGCTTTTCAGACTTTCAAAAATTTATATATTATTCAAGTTTTCCATTTTCGGGAAGAATAATAGGAAGAAGTTCACCAAAGTTACACCAAAAAGTTTTGAAAATCATTCAGTTTGAAGGATATTAGTAGACAGGATATTAGTAAAACCATTTTTATGTCCAAAACTATTTTAATGTCTCCATATGTAAATCCTAGAAACCAACAGTGCCATCCATATCAATTTTCAGGCATTTAGTTTTTTTCGTACAATTAAAGTACGGGTTTTCAAAATAATCTTCATATCTCTATCTCAGATACAAACAGTGAACCTGATATCAAATATCAGCTCTTTCATTTCCCCCATTACCAAATTAAGTAAAATTCAATACAATATTTAAAACCAGCTCCTTCTTTCAACTACAGCCTTATTGTTTTTGGCATCCATATCAAATTTCAGGTTTTTAGATCTATTCCTTCATTTAAAACACTACCAAAAACATTTCCATATCTCAATCCCAGATTCCAAAAGAGACTTCTATCTCAAATTTCGGAGTTCAATAAAAATAAAAACTATCCCTTGTGCAACATATCAAGATTCTAGTTTCAGCCGCATCGTTTGGGCGTTGATTCTTAGTCAGTCAGTTATTTCACTACTCTTTAATATTTACAGGGTGAGATAAAAAAACTGCAACAAAGTCAAACGTCATATTTTTTTTTAAATTTTATTGAATAAAACAAAAAACATCCGAAATAGCATCAAATTTTGGAATAAGTTTAGACTTGTTCGAATTGGTCACTTTTGGCACGAATTATGGCTTTAAACGACCGATGAAACCGTCACACGATGCCCGAATGTTGCTCTGCGGTATTTTGGACCATTTCCGGCGAAGCGCTTGCTTTCCAAAATACTCCAGACACAATAGTCTAACGGATTGGTATCCGAAGATTTTGATGGCCATTGTGCGCTGGAAATGAAGAGAGGAACCTCTTTTTGTAAGCATTCTTGAGTGGCGTGTGCTGAGTCCTATTGGATGTTCAAGGTCTGCGGCCAAAAGGGTTGCGTGCCCAAGGCTTTAGTACACCCTCCATTATATTTTCCGATAATATTTGGCATTTATTCTGATGTCACGGTCGATTCATACGAGGGGAGAGCGACCATCGTCTGTTATGGCGGCCCACACCACCACCATGGCCGGCGCTTAAGTTCTGGTGGCCAACCAAATGTGCACATCTTCAGCTAACATCTTTGGCAAGTAACAATCATTTTGTTTGTTTACAAACTGCTGGACAACGAATGTTTTCTCATCGGAGAAAACCAAATTCGGCAGTTCACCACTTTCGGGCAAGCGAAGCAACTCTTTAGCCCTTTTGAGTCTATTTTCTTTCTGTGGCGGTGTAAAATCTTGCACTTTTTGGAATTCCAATGGCTTTACCCCGAGCTCATTTTTGAATGGAATATTGCGATATGTTCAGCTCAGCGGCCATTGCGACGCGGGTTTCGATTAAGTCGCTTCTTTACTTTTTGGACCATTTCTGCTAATGTTGCTGTTTTCTTCCGTCCACTTCCTTGACGTCGAGCTACGCTACCAGTATCACGGTAACGAGCGATGGTACGATACACAAAAGATTAATACACATTCAAATGCTGGAGTGCTCTAACGATAGCCACTTGTGGTTTTCCAGTCAAATATAAGGAAATCAAACTATCACGCTTGATAAGTCAAAAATTTGATACGCGGAAGTACTAGAGTGGTCGCTCAATCCTACCTTCATACAAAATTCGAAATTGATAGTGAGCGATGTGTAAAATTTGAAGACAATTTGACTCTTATTTCACCACTTTTAGGAGGTGTATTTGAAGGTATCGGCCGATATTGTTAATTTTAAGCCTGACCTAACACTGACGCAAATATTAAAATGTATTTAAAAAAAATCTGATAATCCCTTCTCTTTCTATGATCCCTCTATGGGATACTCCTTTCGAGATATATTGTGCGCATACGAGACGAAGACGGACAACATTTATAAAATGGATTATACCGATGAGGTCCGTTATTGCCATATCAAATAACATATATCTACAAGACTGAGGGTATAAAACTTTTTTTTGCAGTGTATGAAAAACTCGATATCTAGATGGACATGTTTAAGGTTCAATTACATTTAATTATAATTTTTGAACACAGAAACTTATCAGTAATTCAAGGTGAATGATGTGTCACGTTTTTTTTTTAATCGACAAAAAATGTCAATAATTTTACAAAAACAAATCAAAGAAAATAGAAAATAAACCAAATGGCGAACATCAGTTATTTATTCAAAACACAATCGCTTGAAATAAGTTATGGAATTTATACATCTCCTCAAAACACTTTTTTCACAAAAATCCCTAATCAAACCACCTTAATATTTCTAAAAACTACAAAAATGTTCAAAACCAACCTGAATTACGTGTCATGCGTTAAAGTCGCCGTGACAGTCTTTTGGGAGGATTTTACAGTTTAAATATAATGAGATGATTAGATAAATATTACACGAAACTTACAAGTGATATCATCATTAAAATGCGATATATCGCAAACTATCAATGTGAGGATAGAGGTGTTTATTAACTGACTCTTTGCATGTGTGAGTGTGTGTCGGCAAGTTCTTGTGTCTACACAATGTCTGGGAGAATTAACATGTAATTAAGGGAATTATAAGTCTTTAACACCTTATGAATAGTTACACTTACAGCGGTGAATAGGTGTATTGATGTGGAACTTTCCGACATTTTAAGACAGTATACAAATATAACATAATTAATTGAACGGTAAACAACGTGCACTTTTGGCGGAGATTCCAAGAAAAATGCTTTAAAACCAATTAATTAAAATTTAAATTTCGTAGAATTTATTATGTTTTATTTAACAAAAAAATTATTATATTTGTTAATAAATATTCCACACGGAAAACATATATTCGAAACTAGGATGTCACTGATCTGATAGAAGTTATTTTTATACCCTCCACCATACTATGGAGGGTATATTAACTTTGTCATTCCGTTTGTAACTCCTCGAAATACTCATGTCAGACCCAACAAAGTATATATATTCTTGATCAGCGTAAAATTCTAAGTCGATTTAGCGATGTCCGTCTGTCTGTCCGTCTGTCTGTCTGTCTGTCTGTCTGTCCGTCTGTCCGTCTGTCTGTCTGTCTGTTGTAATCACGCTATCTTTCGAATAAATTGAGATAGATGGCTAAAATTTTGCACACATGTTTATTTTTCCAGTAGGCAGGTTAAGTTCGTAAATGGCCCATGTAGGTCCACGTTTTCATATAGCTCCCATATAACGGTACCTCCGGATATTCGGTATTTTGATGATTTTAGCGACGTTATTCACCGGAATTGTTTCAAATTTGGTATTTGAAGTTCCAAATGGATACTACACCCTAAGATAGAAAATTGTCTGTGCAAGTCTATGTCTTCGTATAGCCCCCATATAACGGTACCTCCCGATATTCGGTATTTTGATGATTTTAGCGACATTATTCACGGGAATTGTTTCAAATCTGGTATTTGAAGTTCCAAATGGATACTACACCCTAAGACAGAAAATTGTCTTTGCAGGTCCACGTCTTCGTATAGCCCCAATATAACGGTACCTCCCTATATTCGGTATTTTGATGATTTTAGCGACATTATTCACTGGAATTGTTTCAAATTTGGTATTTTAAGTTCCAAATGGATACTACACCCTAAGACTGAAAATTGTCTGTGTAGGTCCACGTCTTCGTATAGCCCCCATATAACGGCACCTCGCTATGTTCGGTATTTTGATGATTTTAGCGACATTATTAACCGGAATTGTTTCAAATTTGGTATTTGAAGTTCGTTATGGGAACTACAGTCTGTGACAGAAAATTGTCGGTGCGGGTCCAGTTTCGAATTTGAATATGGTAATGGCTTATGACAAACAATGCA